TAACACATATATTTATAAAAATATATATAATATACTGGATACTTCCATATTTTGACAGAATACCTGTACTTTTGTACAGTAAACTACTACTCTGCTATCCTCCTTCCTAAACAGAAGCAGCAGCTTCTTAACAACCTATGCAAAGATGGTAGTAATGCCAATATACTGTTTATCAAGCTGTCTCTGTATTTTGACAGTGAAGTATCATCTCCTAAGTGCAGTAGTGTATTGTATTTGAAGTTGCCATTGTTTGAATGTCCTCTTAGGCAGGACTCAGTTTTCTAATCTGTGTTGCTACTTGATTCTTCAAGCAGTGGTTGGACTACAGGTGGTCTTTAGATGCCAGGCTTCTACAGTGTCTTCCACCTTTTTCCCTCTTTTCCTGCATAGATGTATTTAGGAATCTGGGGAAATCTGCAAGGTGTTATAAAATGCCAGATGGAAGAAGCTGCTCAGCTTGATTTTGGAACTAACCCAGAACCAAGGAAGGAAATAGTCCTGTTTGATAAACCAACAAGAGGAACCACTGTTGAGAAATTCAAAGAAATGGTATATGGTCTTTTCAAAGTAAGTATACGCTTATTTATTCTATTTTGACAGAAAGGCTTATTTTCCTGCAGCTGGAAAGAATGCCCTATTGTATGAGCCTTGTTCAAGTGCATGTTAGAAAGATGTTCAGCACAAAACCAGTTTTTTCCAGAGGTGCTTATCTTGAAGTTTGAAGTAACTAATTATCAGGTTTTTACTTAACTTTTTAACAGATGGAAGCTGGTATGTGTCTTGCATGTCTACAGCTTTCACTTGTATTTGTGTGGAAAATATGGTGAAACTATAACTATTTTTTGCTGCTTTTGGGGTTATTGTAACCAGGCACAAAGACTGAAACACAATTTGAAAAATATTCATGCTTGGGAAGAGTTACTATGTTAATTAAGCAGTAGGAATCTTCCCAAACAGAATGACCAGCCATACTTCTCCCAGTTCTGTGTTATGAACTGGGATAATAATATAATGTGATACTGATTTCTATTGCTTTAATGCTACCCCAGAATTTTCATAATAGAGTCAACACTTCAATGCTGTGTCAAGACTGATTTTTTTGGGTTTTTTTTTCTTAAAATTCTCTTGCTATTGTCATAGCTCTTATGTCTCTAGTGATGGAAATAATGCTGTTCTGAGTGAGCATATGTGTACACATGCACACACATGACATAATTATGTAAAGCTGATGACAGTTGTCATGCACTACACTAGCTTTGTCTCTAAGAATGGGTGAGCAGCAGGTGTTTTAAAGTAGTTTTTAGGAGAATCTAGGTGGTAGTTGAAAAATGCAACATTTCCGATTCCAACAATGGCTTCTTTCTCTGTATTGATACAATGGAAGTGGTTATAGCAAATAAAAAAAATATTTCAGTACACTTATCATATGGGATTTGTACCCAGTGTGTCTTGGTACTTTTTATAGTTAACCAAAATGTAGTTGATCCTGTAATTTCTCTACACCTGTAAGGTTTAATCAGCTGAAAACTAAACCTGATCTAAATGTTTGAATTCTAATTTCTAAGACAATATTTAACAAGCTACTGGATATGACTTTTCTAAAGACTGATCTGACCAAGAACAATGTTTGAATTTTAATGTTTGCATTTTGAAATGCAAAGAACACTAGTACTTTCAGAAGATCACATACCTGGTGCCTTTGAAAACAGAACAAAAAGGAAGCTCTTCAGGCATCTGGTAGCAAGTCCTGTAACATCTATAACCAATGAAAACTAGAATATAACATACCCCCTTACCATAGAAGCCATAGAAGGAGAATAACAGGAGGTAGAATGACAGGTGGATTGGTGGTAGTTAATGAAATCATACTTAAATCTTTTTCGTTTGTTGCTTTTAGGCAAAATTGGGTGAACAAGGAAATCTTTCAGAACTGGTTAATCTCATCCTATCTTTTGCTGATGGAAACAAAGATGGTAGAGTTTCTTTGCCAGAGGCAAAATCTGCATGGGCGCTTCTGCAGCTAGATGAGTTTCCGTTAATGGTGATCTTGCAGGATAAAGAACATACTCCCAAGTTGATGGGTTTCTGTGGGGATCTCTATGTGACCGAAAGAGTTGAATATACCTCTCTCTATGGAATCAGCCTTCCATGGATTATAGAACTTTTCATTCCCTCTGGCTTCAGAAGAAGTATGGACCAATGGTTTACTCCATCGTGGCCAAGAAAGGCAAAAATAGCTATAGGGCTTTTAGAATTTGTGGAAGATATTTTCCATGGACCTTATGGAAACTTTCTTATGTGTGATACAAGTGCCAAAAACTTGGGATATAATGATAAATATGATTTGAAAATGATGGACATGAGAAAAATTGTGCCAGAAGCGAATTTGAAGGAAATAATTAAAGATCGTCAGTGTGAATCAGATTTAGACTGTATTTACGGTACAGACTGTAGAACTCTATGTGACCAAAGCAAAATGAGATGTACCACAGAAGTAATTCAGCCAAACTTAGCAAAAGCCTGCCAGCTACTTAAAGACTATCTGCTTCGTGGTGCTCCTCCTGATATCCATGAAGAACTAGAAAAACAACTGTACTTGTGTATTGCCCTTAAAGTCACAGCAAATCAGATGGAAATGGAGCATTCTTTAATACTGAATAACTTAAAAACTTTACTGTGGAAGAAAATTTCCCATACAAATGATTCTTAGCTTCTCCACCAGCAGAAGACAATATTGATGCCTGCCACTAGAGGTGGCCTACCACATTTGATAAAAATGATCTGCAGCATTTTTTAAAGATGTTTCTTTACTCAGATTTCATGAATGGCTCTTTAACTCTTGCCCTTCAGTACTTTATGACAGGACTTCTCAAAGAATGAACATGCCACTGAGCAATTGGGCAGAGGCCAGAAGCACTTCTGGTGTTCCAGTGCTGTGTTATGGAAACAAAAAAAACCTGCATGCTTGACTATTCTGTGCACTTTGTCAGATCTTGAACAGGATGAAAGTATTCACTGTGCCACCACATCAACTGATGGAACGTCTTATAATTCTGTGAAAATCATTGCTCACTTGTGAAATGACCTGCAAGAGTTTTATCCTAAGCAGTTTTATGAAGAACCACCACTACTGCAAATGATGTGTCTGAGTCCAAGCTGCTTTTGTGAATACATTGAACTGTGAGACTGAAGTTTACTAATACCTTGGCATGGCAGAATTTGCACATTAATAATTTTTAAACTGTGGAAAATTAGAATTTTATTCTAGGACAGGTTGTAATATGAGACTTAAATCAGATTGTGTTTACACCTTGTTACCTCATGCTTACATCTTGAATGTTTTAGTTCAACACTTTTTAAGTCCTTATACAATGAATCATGTTGTGAGCCAAGAATTTTAGAATGTTATTTCTTAAAATCACGTATATAGTCTAACAAACAGCAATATCAACATTTGTTTCAAAAACTGTAGACTGTTGAAACCTTTAATCCAAATTAAGCTGTAGCAAATAGTCAAAAGTAAGGAGTTTGTGGACTAAGCTATCTTATGAGAATTGAAGGTAATTAATTTTTTAAAATACTGATAGCAGAAATGTCCTAACAGTTAAAAAACGAAGCTTGCATAGTGTAGGAATCTGCTGTACGACATGTGAAAAAATAGTTGTGGATTGTCTTGATTCTTTACTGTCCCTCCAAAATTAGCTACAGACTTGTACTTAAATCCTCTTGAGCTAGGAAATGCTTTTCCGCAGGAAGTCAGAGCTAGATCTGAACTGTGGAACAGAGGTTGGATTGTTCAGGATCATGGAATATTGCTTAAATGGGAGCCTGTGAGATAGTAACAGCTAGGAATGAGGTGGAACATAAGTGAGCTGTAGTGTTACTATTCTTTCTCATAGCATCTACAAGTCATCAAGTGGCACTCCATGTGCCAAGACCATTGTACTACTTTTAATTTCATCCCTGTTGTTTCTCAGATTTACATCTATGTTCACAATTATGCAGACTTGGATGTCCATAGAACACCTTAATACTGTGCTCCATACTTATCTGTTAATGTTTAGTTTATAAATGCTTTTGGTACAAAGTAGTTCAATCCTTAATGATTTCAATGGCAGTCATCCATATACTCCCAAATCCTGGCCCCTTAATTCATTTTCAGCATAGGTAAGGATAGGCTTTATTAAAATATTTGAAAGGTTAATTGCTTTAGGTATCCTGTATTAAATGCATTCCTTGAATGACTGAAGTGCAGGATCAACAGTCATTTCTCCGTACCATATATAATAGTATGCAGCTTGGGTTAAGAGTGTACTGTTTTGTAAACATCAGCTTTTTAGTTTCAGAATTACTATGCTAATTATTATCTCTAACTTGATGATGTCCTCCAACCATGAGCTAATAACAATTTGTAGCCAGCAATGCACTCAAATGTAAAGTGGTCATGTTCTCAGTGGAAAAATCTGACTGTAACTGCTACTAGGTTTTGGCAGAGGTTATTGTTGGGTATTTTGAACTGGAAAACATGTTTAATAGCGCAGTTTGTTGTACAGAACCTTCATTTTTATTGCTGTTGCATCAAGTTTGAGCTTTCAATGGAAAAAACCCCACATTTTTGTTTATAATAAATCACAGGCCTATTTTTCTCTTTCAATAGCAGTACTTACCATCTATCAGTATCTTAAAGTAAAACATTCCTCTGTGTAGCTTGCTTGACTCATGTTTTAACTGTGCAAGCAACTTCACTAAGTCTAATGGGAAACAAGAAAGAAGTGCCTATGAAACTGAGATGTAAGAGAAAATAAGGGATGGGGCAAGTGAAGGCCTCTGTAACAAACATGTATATGCAACTTAAAATTAACTGTTGTCTAATCACTAAATAATGTGTAAGTATTTAGCTTAAGACAGTACCTGTTCCAGTAACAGCCAGAGCTTGGAGCTGAGTGCATGGAAGCATTTACTTCAGTTACACATGTATTGCTGTTATCACCTACAGTTAAGTCGCAGTAGG